AGGGGCAAGGCAAGGTAAGTTCATTCCTATAGCACATGGACTGTCAGGTTGAGTGGAGATTTTTAGAAGACCCAAATGTATTGGTGGAAGCTAGGGTGGTTTATTGCTAATTTAATTATCCAAATGGTGGCAACTGAAGCAAAAGCCCACAAAAAAAAGAAAAAAGAAAGAAAAACAAAATCCAGAAGACATCAGCATACAAGAAGCAGGTATAGATGGAAGAATCTAGAAGGGAGCTACAGTAGGGGAAGGGGATTGACACAAGGAGGCAACAGAGGGTAAACAAGAAATACGTTAGACCTCAGATTCTACCAGAAAAAAACACAAAATAGAAAAGAAACCAATGAAAACTAAAAACAAACTTAAACAGAACCAAAACCACGATAACAGACAATTCAAAGTACTTAACATTAATAAGAAAATAAAAAAGAATAGAAATAAAAGCAGAGTAAAGCAAACAAAGATAAAAACATGATAAAATATGATAAAACAAATAAAACAGTTGGACCACAACCATAAACTAATAAAACCTCATTTAATAGTTTAAATTAGGTTCTATTTGTTTAGAAATGTCAAAGGCAGGATTTTAACTTTGACTTAAAAGAACTCAGGCTTTCAATTTAATGCAGTTTATTTATATAGCGCCAATTAACAACACGTGTAATCCTGAGGCACTTTACAGAGACAATTCAACCAGATCCTACAGTCAAATTGGTTTAAAGTTTTTCTAGGAAAACCAGCTGATTGCAACGACTCATTGACTCTTCAGCAATCCCTACTGTAACACCAAGCATGCTAGAAGTGAGAGGGGAGAGGAAAATTCCCTTTTAACAGGAAGAAACCCCCAGTAGAACCAGCAGGCTCAGTGTGAACCTCAAGGAGACAGAAGCCGACATAAAAAGAAGCAGTGATACAAAAGAACTTTTTCAGTCTTCTAGAGGTTAGTTCCTGAAAAGTGGAGCATAAATGCTGCATGTTTAGTTCTATTTCTGAATGTACAGAGTAGGCTTGAACTAGCAGACTTGAGTGGTCTGGGGGGTTGATACACTGACAACAAATTTGTTATGTATAGAGGCGCAGAAAATAATTTTAAAGTCTATTCTCTGAACTACCGGATCCAGTGGAAAGACTTCAGAACCGGGCTGATGTGCTCTACTTTCTTAGTTCTAGTGAGAACACGGGCAGCAGCGTTTTGGATCCAAAGCAGTTGTCAGATGGACTTTATAGGCAGACCTATGAAAAGCAGAGTACAGTAAAACAAAGATACAAAGTTACAGCCTCCCTGCATATTTACCTTTAGTTAAGAACAGTTTAACGCAATTGTTAACCTTATATGAGTGTTTAGACTCTTAGTAAAATAAAGCTTGTTCTAACTTTATAAACAACAGCTTAAACATGTTAGCATGACGTCCCATGTGGTCTTTTTTGTTTTTAGCTTGCATTAACCAACAGTCAACACATGAAATTATCAAAAATCTCAAAAAGAAACAAATTGTTTAGCTAGAAACTTTCCCTGACTTCTACCTCTACCTTTGTATCTCCATTTGGAAGGATAGAGTTGTTCTTCTGCATTTAGCGGCATAGCAGCAGACCACAGAAAGGAACTTCTTTGTTCTCAGTGCCATACACCAAGGGATCTCCAGTCTCTTCATCTCAAAGTCATTAAACTGAAAAGAGAATTGATTGATTGACTTTATTGATTTCACATTGGAGAAATTTACTCATTACATTAGCTCAAATAGTCAAAAAGAGAAGAAAAAGGTGCATGGGATATATATACAGTCTGTACAGTCTAAACAGTGCGTCCGCTTGACAACTTTTTTTTTTTTTTTTTTTAGATACGGTATGTTGCTAAGAAATGTTGCAGTCAATTTGGTTCTGATATCAGCCACCAGGTCCACATAGCCTTTGGTTAGTACGGAGTTCTAGTCCCACGGCATGGGGCCATATTGGTGTCTCTTCCGATGTTTATTCTGGAGGTGAGTGCCACAGAAGAGAGGAAGGATCACTGTGAGTTTGGTATTTTCTGCTCAAACACTGTGGGAGGGAAGGACTAAAGGAGGGGGCTTTGTAGCAGTTAGAGATTTTGATTGAGAGTCAAATGCGGAGCAAAACAGCATCCCCTTCCTTGGACATTGGTTCCTAATTTCTAAAGTTGTTATCATGGTTTAAAACCCAACAGAAGTTATAGAGTTTTTTTTCCCAAACACTCTATGTTGCTACTGTGCTATTAAAACTAACTGCTGCATTTGACATAAAGGTCCATGAAATATTGCTTTCTCAAATTCAGCACCATAGGTGTTAATTAAATCTTTCATGGTGCAAGAGTTTTTGTGCAGAGTACCAGCCTTCGACTGCTACCTGGTATAGAAATCCACAGGGACCCTGTTTACCCTCTGTTCTGTTTCTGACTTGGATCTCTTCATCTAAAGCACGAGAGGACTTTTTGCTGTTACACAGCTGACAGAGTCTTAATAAAGAGTTAGCTGTTAAAAGTTGGTGACAGTAAACACAACTTTCTCATCACTCAGCTAGAATCATTTACCAGTCTCAAGAAAATTAGAACTCGTTTGTGCCATTTTAGCCTTGTTCCACTGTTTTTTTTCAGTTAGGGTTTAGTTTACATTGATTTACTTTTCTGTTAGAGGTCTACATTTCTACAAACATACATGCAAAAGTGCTCTCTTAAGGTCAGCTAATCAGCACTGCAACAGATATTAACTGTATGCGTAGAGTTGTGCAAACGCTAGCTGCTGCAGACCAAACGTGGGATTATCACACATTACACAAACCTTCACTGTGGGCTTTAAACGAGACACATTTTTTATTTTATTGCTTCACTGTGTCATATTATTTATGTGTCTTGGTGTTTTTCGGATGTTTTTCTCTTTTGTTGTTGTTGAATGTGTGCTGTTGTGTCTTTTCTGTTGCATCTCCTTGGTCCGGTGTGGTTCTTTGAAGGGCTTTAGAAGTAACGCAGGATTGGATTGAGTTGGCTGCAGAGAAAAGAACAACAACTGTTGATATAAGGTCTCTTTTCTTGTATTCTCTCCATATTTTCAGCATAAGACATGTCTTCCTAACAATGAGTATTCACTGGATGCCCTACAGTCTCAACAAAATCCTCAGACAAAAAACTCCTTAAACAAGTCTTACAAGCAGTAACTTGTATATTAGAATGAAACTGTACAAATCAGAGCAGCCAATTGCGGTTTGTGTGTGTGTGTGTTCAGAGGGTTGCTAAGCTGTCTTAGTCAGCAGTAACGTAGCCTGCGTATGCCGCCAGCAGTAAGCTGAGCAGAGTGAACAGGTGGCTCATCTGACATACTCACAGCAACATTAACAACCTACAGGAATATCTTTATTAAAATATGATCCAATTTAGGAGGGAAGAGGCAATTTTGTGACGTCTAACTGATTAATGTCATTGAGGCAAAATACTATTTTCTAGTTTCTTTTCCCTACATACAGTGCTCAAGTTGATGGAGGACAGGGGCCTTTTTAAAAAAAATTTTAAACGTCATCCCCTTTCTTAAATGACCATCCCCCTGAACCATGCCCTGTGACATTTTATTACTTAACATGTAACATTTCTACTATATATTAACAGTAATGGCAATAATATTGACTTTTTAACATTTGCCTGGCTGTGGGCTTACGAGTAGCCTGAGCAAAATAAATAAAATCAAAGAAGTGTCCTACCATGACTATGAAGCTGATCCCAGTGGGAAATTTGTCCTCTGCATTAGTCCCTAACTATGTAGGGGCAGTGATAGCCATGCCAGTCCAGGGACGGACTGTAGTTCTACTGTAAGGTGCATTGGTCAAGGTCAATGACCGGCGTACCTGACATACCATGCATAGTGCTTTAGGTGATAAGACTATATTGATTAGGCAATTTGTGCTTCGAAAAAAAGAAAAAATAATTCACCATCCCATCTTTTTTTTAACAGCTAGACTACTACCTACATACACTGTTAAAGAAAACGTACAATTGTATTGTATTTCTTAACATGAAAAGTAGAATTAAACACAAATTTATAACAATAAAATTAGGGATGCACGATATTGGGATTTTGGCCGATATCCGATATGCCGATATTTTAAAACTCATGTGGCCGATAACCGATACCGATGTTGAAGCTGGACAAAAATAAGTAGTCATTGAAAATAGCAGTTTTATTATCCATTTCTGACACTTTGAAAAATAATATACTCAAATATATTTTCATATGCTGATATCAAATAGATTTTTAAAAACGCAGTATCGATCTATTTTACTTTCAAAATCTCATGAAATTTCATCGTTCTGTTACAAACTCTCAAGATATTTTGCAAATTCTTGTGAGATTTTTTTAGTAAAATAGATCGATACCGCGTCAATATATCAACATATAAAAATATGGCAACATTTTGTGAACTTTCTGGGGATTTGGTAGCATAACGATGACATATAGCAATATTTCATTAGTAAAAGAGATTGATATGGTGTTTTTAAATGGCAATATATCAGCATATGAAGATATTGTGATATTTTAATGTATCAATATTTTTTCCCTCGTCTTTAGAAGTTTTTAAGTCTGTAAAAAAGAAGTTTTTGAGGAAGAAGAAGTAGTATCTTTATTTTTTTTTTTAGACTATAGAAACTCAGAAGCTGATCAAATATCGGGTTAAATATCGGTGGGGTGGCCGATGTGCGACATTCAGTTTTAAGGCCGATACCGATAGGGGGCAGATTATATCGTGCATCCCTAAATAAAATATTTGAAAAAAACATAATGCTATGAAAATAAACAACAAACAACAGCCAAACATTTAACAACAGTATCAAATTAATTGCACCCCATTGTATTTATCTTTTTACTCAAATTAGAATAAATAGATAACATGCTAAATTATTTAAAGTCATTTCCACATTATGTCATCATTCATTCTTTATGTGATCTGCCAAATATTATTGATTTAGATCGGACTATGATTTTTATTTTCTTCTTCTTTAGCACGGTCGTCGGTGACAACCACCATGGTCATTGATGGCAAAGTGGGAGAAGCTGGCTCAACCACTGTCCGGGGGTCCAAGAAAACGTTAACAGAGGACTTCTACTCTACTTTTAGCTCTCCTTTAGCCTGGATCCTGGTTCTGGCACTAGTCATCACATGGACATGTGTGTTCGTTATAATGTTCGATCTGGCAGACTACAAGACCATTGCAGGTAGAGTAAGACGGGTGAAAATATCGTCTCTTTCAACTCTATTCCTTCTGGCGTTTATATGAATTATGATGTTGATTGATTGGTTAATTGTCTGCAGTTTGGTACAAGTTCAACCGATTTCTCCAAACAGGGGCATAACATTCTGGTCCTCAAAATCCAATGTCCCACAACCTTTAGTAATTGGTAAAACTCTGCTAAATCTCTGCCTATAGAAAGCAGTAGAGTCATTTATTCTGATGTGTTGGATCAGGAACACATCCAAAAAAGTTAAAAAACAATCTAAGCCAAAATAAGGCTGTTGTTGTTGTTGGTCCACTCTATAAAGCTTTGAATTAAAAGCTAATTCTGACATTTGGAATTGAAAAAGTTTCCTGGATGGGAAGCGAAAAGTCCTAAAGCTTGGAAAGCAAGTCCAGTGGATCGGTTTTAAATTTTTTTGGAATGACTATGACCTTGATGACTGAGAATCATCCAAGTCATAGAAGAATACCAAAACCTAAAGAAGTCCGTTGAGAAATAAAGGTATTGTAAGCTTCCCCTTTAGTCACATTATATGACGGGCCATAGATTTCCTTGTAACAACGTAAAAAAAATGTAAAAAAAACCTTTCGGGAGAAGTTACGCAGTCATTTGCATATTCACAGAAACAAGTGACATGGAAAGCTTTAGTTTTCTTAGTCCCAGTGCGCATCTTAATGGTTTGGTCTATAAAATCTCTGAGTATTATTTATTACACTCAATTATGTTGTTGTTGAAAAAGTTGAAAAGGCTGCAAAAAGAAAAAAACAACAACAGCCCTCTTAAAAAAAAGCTATTTTTATAAAAAAAAAAAAAAATCATGTCCCAGAATCTAGATCTTCAAAGGCAAATAACAAAAACACATAAAAGAAAAATATACGAAGGTCTGGGACAAGATAATAAAACATCAAACATAAGGATCTGTCAAAGAAAACAAAAGTACTCAGGAGGCTGATCACTTGGTAGGAGCCATTCATTATTGAGTGGAGGGAGAAAACTAATATAATGAACTGACATGATGATTAATAACATTTCACATGGCAGCTAACAGGTATTTAATCCTACTTTCATTCTATTTTATACCTTATATATTTATGAGAATTCTAAAAATGTATGCCTTTAATACTGTTGTATAAAATGCACTAATTCTACTTATTCATGTTTCTGTGACAACACTAAATCATTCCTTCCAAATAACATTTAATGACACAGGAACCTTTAACTGTAAGGACTCAACAGAGGGGCCGAGTAATCAGGCAAGACAGACAGTGGGATTAATAAAAAGCTTTTATTAAGCAACGGGCTGCGGATCTGCTTTATCAGCAGTTAGGGTGTCTAAGACAGGAACCTCTAAAGGAGGGAAACACAGGTTAGTTGCCACAATTTAAATTCCCTGATGGAGGATGATTATGAACGTGTGAGTTCAGTCCTTGTCCAGAGAATGAGGATAATTCTAGCCGGTCAACTGACAAGACTCAACGGACACTGCCAGAGAGTTCCAGACGCTGAAGCCAGGAAAGCTGCAGAACTGGCAGGAGAGCAGATCCAAGCAGATAAGGGAAGGCAGGATAATCCACAGGGCAAAGTCAAGGGAAAAATCCAGGTTCAGTCCACAGTAGAATCCAGCAGATGTCTGAAGACAGGTCAGTCAAACAGATCTGGACAGAGCCAGGCGATCTCAAATGTCATGACACGACAATCAGAACACAATAAATTAGGCTAGACAAACTCTCACAAAAAGGCTCAAGAATAACATGGCACTGATGGCTGGGACCAAGAAGTTTAAATAGAAGCAGGAGCAGGTGGATCAGATGAACAGCGATGAGAACCAAGGCAGAGCTAGACAGGTGAATGAAATGAGCAATTAAGCTAAGCATCAGCGCCAACATCATGACATTAATATCTTAATTTGCATAACGTGAGGCTCATATTTCTAACAATACCATAAAATCTTCATTCATCTCTAACAGAAACTCTCACATGAAACTGCTACAGCTTTGTTACAGTATTTCTTTATTTCGATTCAGAACTGACTCATAATGCCATGCCAATGAATGTTTCATTGCTTATCACCACTTTCTCTCATCCAACCAGATCGCCCTTCTGCTGGCATCAGGAAGGTTTTAAAGGATTCAGGGCGCAGAGGCAAGACATCTCACCTGCAACTAACCTCTCAGATCCCAAATGCTTCTTCTATAACTACTAATAGCTACTAATGACCATGAAAAATAGCCAATGGAAACTTTCACGGATTAGTCTTTATTTTATTTTTAAGGAAGATGGATTTTTGTTCTTGCTGAGCAGCATTCTGGATGCTTATCTGCAGTGGGAGAAATACCTTTTTTGGTGCATTTATTACTTGCAGAGAAATGGACATATGAATACGGCATCAATACATAATGCAGAGAGACAGGATATCATGCAAAAGTAAAAAAAAAAATAATTTCTTTCCAACTGATTCTACACCATGGGCAAGACCAAAAAGCTTGGTCAGAGGAAGAGAAGAAGCAATCCTTTAGAAATGGAGAAAACAAAATGACCATCCTTTGGTTTGGAGTTTCAGACACAATCTTTCCTGTTAAAGTAAGAAAGACAATACAGAGGGATGGCAGGAGTTTAAAATGATCTGAACAGCACTGCCACTGGTAAAACGATTGGAAATCAAATTCCTTCTGATGTATGTTAGTAGCTACCAAAATATTAGCCTGTTCTCTCTGATGAAGGATTTCTCAGTCAAGTTCTGGCAGCTTTGATACTTTTTCCACTAAATTACAGGATTTTTTCTAACTTTTCTACAGTATATTCCTGTTTCTCTGCATTCACGATAGACTGTTCGGATGTTTGCTCTTTTCTCATTCAAACTGGGACTTCAAATGAGCTTGATTCTGTAGTTTTATTAATATTGTTTTCTAAAGAGGAAATTTAATACACTGATTAGGTTGAATTAAGCTCATCTGAAATCTACTTTTTCCGGTGCAGCTTTCAGCTGAAGATCGATAGAACTTCTGAAACGCTTCTTTGCACAGCATTGTGTTGGAATGCCCCTGTGAGATGGTTAAACTGGAAGATGGGGTTCATGATACAATAACCATCCATTTCTTTAAAAAACAAGGTTCCCACTTTCAGTTTAACCCCCTCAAAAAGAAATTCTGTCCTTGGTTTATGAAAACTAGAGGAAAATATTGCTTTACAGAACTTCTTCTTCTTATCCGCTTTTCTCAAAACATTTATGAAGGTCAGCTAAACATTATTTGTATGTTTCTCCTCCTCGTCGACGACTGTACTGTTTTAGGAGGTCTCAGCAAATTCAGCTCAGACCCTGTGAAGGTGGTGAACGACGCTGTGGATGAATCAACAAACATGATTAGCTCCGTGTTTAATTTCGCTGCAAGCCTCATCGCTCCAGAGGAAGACGAAGGTAAACTAAGATGCTTAGAACAAACATTACTTTGCATTATGATAAAAGCACTATCTGTGTTTGTGATTGTAGATGTGAGTAAAATTTATGATGTTTTATATATTCCTTTGCAGGAACGCTGTATGCAGTAAGGAAAAAAGGTTTGTACTACTGAAGCTTTTCAGTGTTTTTTCCAGGATCATTATTTTGAAATGCAAAAAAAATCATTATGGTCTGAGCTAAAAAATCATCTTTGGTGTTATGTTTTATTTAATAACATAAAAAATAACTTCTACAGGAGTAGAAGAAATTAAACATCTACTTTTAATGTTTGAGAAAGACTTTAAAAGCAGGTATAAAAATGTATACCTCCAATTATTCTGACCTTGGGGGGAATAATTTTAATGCAACCAAAGCATCATTTAAAGCAAGGTTTAAGAAAAAATGAAATATGGATTTTTATATTCTCTTCTTAATAAGTAGTAGAAAAATATTTGCTAAAAATCCAAATTTTTCCAATTCTGCCCAAATAAATACAATAGGTTCCTCAATCATCAGGGTTTAATACACTTACCGGCCACTTTATTAGGTATACCTGTCCAACTGCTCGTTAACACTTAATTTCTAAGCAGCCAAT